ACCACATCTTCTTTATTCATCTGTCGACTGACATCTGGGCTCTTTCCGTAGTTTGGCTGTTGTGGACATTGCAGCTATAAACATTGGGATGCAGGTGCCCCCTTCGGATCACTATGTTTGTATCCTTTGGGTAGGACTCACTTTTTTTTTTTTTTTTTAGGACTCACTTTTTAATAAATGTGGTTGCAACTGTCAGGGAAGAATTGTCTTAATCTATACTCTCTTGTCCTCTGTTGTTTGAATTACTAGTGTGTCACAGTTCTTTTTCTTCCCCATAAATAATGAAAAAGGAATGGCATACTTCACCCCTTGGTAGAAAGGGTAAATATCATCCTGTGGAGAAAGGCAGAGGCTGTCACCAGAGATAAAATGAATATGTTAAAAAAATACAACTATTTTCAGGGGCACCTGGTGGCTTAGTCGGTTAAGCGTCTGCCTTCAGCTCAGGTCATGATCTCGGTCCTGGGACCGAGCCCTGAGTTGGACTCCCTGCTCAGCGAGGAGTCTGCTTCTCCCTCTCCCTCTTCCCATCCCCACTGCTCGTGCGTGCTCTCTCTCTCTCTCAAATAATAAAGTCTTTAAAAAAAAATACAACTATTTTCTATAAGGAGTATGAATTTATAGCTTTGATATCAGACAGTTCTAGTTAAACTCAGCACTGCTGCTTTGCAACTGATTGATCCTAAGGAAGTTTCTGTCAGAGTCTAAATTTCTTTATATATAAAATTGGGATGGTAATAATTGTACCCATCTCATAGAATCATTCCTAGGATGAAATATAATGTGTAAAGAAGAGTTTAACACAGTGCTTGGAATACAGTAAGTACTCAATATATGTTGGCTATTTAAAAGTTTCACATAACAAAGTACATAAAAAGAAAAGGAACAGAATAGAGAGAATATATTTGATATAATAGCTAATACACAATATTGTTGGAAAGAAAAAACAGATAGCCTTCACATGGGAAAATCCTTAACTTGCTGGCAAAGAAAGAAATGCCAATTAAAACAAGTTTCTGTCAAAGGAGCAAATAGAACTCTTGGGCAGACCCAATGTGGACCAGACTCTGGGGAGTCCACACACCTCTGCATCCTTGAAGGGTACCAGAGTCACAGGACCTCACATTCTGCAACCTGACAGTTCTGCTTCGGAGATTGTAGAACAAAAATAAAAGTCATTTAGGGCGCCTGGGTGGCTCAGTTGGTTAAGCAACTGCCTTCGGCTCAGGTCATGATCCTGGAGTCCCGGGATCGAGTCCCGCATCGGGCTCCCTGCTCGGGGAGGAGCCTGCTTCTCCCTCTAACCCTCCCCGCTCTCATGTACTCTCTCTCTCTCATTCTCGCTCTCTCAAATAAATAAATAAATCTTAAAAAAAGAAAAAAAATCATTTAGTACCAGAATGTGCTGCCCAATACTCAAATTAATACAAGACAAAGAGCTAGCCTTGGGTCTAGTGGGGAGGGTCCATGGCTGGCAAACTCGGTCTCAGAACTGATTTTTCCTCCTTACTCCCTTCCCAGCCAAACTCCAGGCTGCTGTGGTGCTGAATCCTGGCTACTCTTCCATCCCACCCATTTTCCAGCTGTGTCTGAACTGGAAAGGGGAGAAAACCAATAGCAACGATGACAACATTCGGGTAAGACCCTGCTGGGGTGAAGGAAAGAGCGGGGAGAGCCTCCTTGGGAGGCAGAGGGAAGTGGCAGAACCTACAGCAGCCGAGAGCTTGGCCACTGGCATAATTCCAGGGACAAAGGGGCCTGCCAGGATTTGTAGAATTTGCTGGAGGCTGTATGGTATAGTTGAAGAAAAAGTCTAGCCCCATATTAACCACTTACTTAGCTTGGGGTCACCCCATTTTAAAATGAGGATAATATAAAGCCTTGCCTTTAAAGGTTGTTGTCTTGGGCTTCTGTGGAAATGTGAATAAACTCAGAAGCATGGAAGTCCTGGAATGAGATGGGGTGTGAGATCATTGTAACTATTAATTATCATACCTGTTGATTTGATTCCATAGTGGCCTTCTGGCCATGAATCATGTTTTTAATGCTGATACTTTCTGACTTAGATGTTGAGATTTCTTCTGTACACACCTCCATCTTCTTGGCTGTGAGAATGTTGGGCAAGGAAAGTTATGGGTCCCAATCAGGAAGACTCTGTTGTCCTGAGCTTCAGGACAAACCTATCTGGTTTGATCTGGTGTGACCTAGCTCCTACAGAGGCCCGGCTACAGTTCTTGTAAAGCTGTCAGACCCAGCCAGTCTGAAGGTAGTGCTGAGTTTCTGGCTTTCCCACTCCTTAGGCCATGGAGAGTGAGGTCAACGTGTGCTACAAGGAGCTGTGCGGCCCCCGGCCCAGCCATCAGCTCTTGACCAACCAGCTGCAGCGCCTGTGTGTGCTGTTGGATGTCTACCTGGAGACTGACAGCCACGACGACAGTGTGGAGGGGCCCAAGGAGTTTCCCCAAGAGAAGATGTGTCTGCGGCTTTTCAGGTGAGGGGAGGGGTGGGAACGCTGGGGCTCTGGAGGTCTCCAGTCCTGCCTCTTTCAGGGACTTGGGGCAGAGATCAGAGCCTGGCATGGAGGGCATGCTTGTTCTTAGGTGTACTTGTCTCTGTTCACAGTGGAAATAAAAATTCTATAGCCAGATTTTCTGGGGAGGGCTTGCTCCCTCTTTCCTGAAACTTTCCCTGCAGCCTACTTCCTACCGTCCTGGTCCAGTTGTTCTTCTTGAGCACCTCTGAAGGTCAGCTGCCCACTGAGTGAGCAGCACCAGACCACGAACCAAAAGGATTTAGCTGAACTTCCTGTGTTTTTTTTTTTTGGAAAACAACAGGGTTTGCTTTTTACTGTCCAAATAAGCTTTTAAAGCTAGGTGTAAAGCCCCACCAGTCCCAGAGTCTGCCATATTCTTCCTAGGATGCTCACGAGTCTATGAGAATGGCAGCTCTAGGCAGTCGGGCATCACGGAAGGAACCAGCTCTGAAGTAAGACAAATACAAGTACAGATTGCTGCTTTGCTGCTCACCAGCTGTGTGACCTTGGCAGAGTCACTTTAGCTCGGGACCTATTTCCTAAAGGCTGACATGGAAGTATACTGTCTGGCTGTAATTCATGTAAGCTATGAGAATGGTTCCTGGCACAGACAGGGGCTCACAAAATGCCATTAGGTCATAACAACTTGGTGTTTAGTGTGTCTGTGCTTATGGCACTTCTAGCTACTTTTCCATTCACTTTGGTCAGGTCCTTTCTCTCCTTTTTATCAGCTAACACATGTTCTTGTTCCTTTTTTTTTTTTTTTTAAGATTTTATTTATTTATTTATTTGACAGAGCACAAGCAAGGGGAGCGACAGGGAGAGGGAGAAGCAGGCTCCCCGCTGAGCAGGGAGCCCGACACGGGACTCGATCCCCGGACCCTGGGATCACGACCCGAGCCAAAGGCAGATGCTTACCTGACTGAGCCACCCAGGCGCCCCACATATTCTTGTCCTTAAAGAGTCAGTTTCAAAACTCGAGTCCACACTATTAGGCATCCCTTCCCTTTTGAGCAAGCAGCTGAGGAGGAATGGTGTCTGGGAGAGGGGAAGGGCTATAATCTGTTTCTAATTGGGACATCCCCCTATTCCCTGTCAGTCTAAAGGTGCCTTACCTGCCCCTCACCTTCTTCTCGGACAGCCAGTACCAGCCCCTGGAAGCTGTGCCAGCATCCTCCCACCTCCATCTGGCACCTGCACCTGGCCTGGTTCTTCATGTTATCTGAGAATAACCAGTTCCAGCCCCCAAGTGGCTGCTGGGAGGCAGAGCTGGCGGCTAGGTGTTGATAGCTTCTAGGACTTGCTCTCCCTAGTGGGTCTGTGTGAGAACTCAGTTCTTCCCACCCTCCCAGCCTGCTGTAACACATTTCCAGTGTGGAATCTCTCACACGGCCAGTATTTATTTTCTGTTATCTAATGGTTCCCAAAGGATCTGTTTCCTGAAGTGCTTTGTGTGTCACCCAGGCTGAGCTCCTCTATCAGGGCATTCTGGGATGGTGCTCCTTTGGCTACTCAGATCCAATTAACTCCATGACTGGTGAGATGTGTTTCTAGGCCTGGAGTCCAGCTGACCACTGGTATCAGGCCAAGGGCCTGGGCTGCAGAGTACTGGCCTGGCAGCAGGAGACGGGAGGTCTGGTTCTGCCTGTGGCTGGCTACTTTCAGGCTGTGGGTTCTCCATTAGCCACATGCCTAGACTTGCCCAGGTGATTCTGTGCCCTTCTGATGTCGGGAGGTATATATCATTACGGTTATGAGCAAGGGCTTTGGGGCCAGAAAGACGTGGGTTCAAATTGCAGCTCCTGCCTATGTGATGAGGGTCTACACTTAGCCCCCTGAGCTTCAGATTCCTCATTGGTGAAAAAACAGCATCCACCTCAGGTACTGTTGGGAGGATGAAATTAAACCAGATGTAGGGGGCGCCTGGGTGGCTCAGTCGTTAAGCGTCTGCCTTTGGCTCAGGTCATGATCCCAGGATCCTGGGATCGAGCCCCGCATTGGGCTCCCTGCTCAGCGGGAAGCCTGCTTCTCCCCCTCCCACTCCCCCTGCTTGTGTTCCCTCTCTCGCTCTGTCTCTCTCTGTCAAATAAATAAATAAAATCTTTAAAAAAAAAAAAACAACAAAACCAGATGTAGTGTGTAAAGTGCCAAATACAATGCACACAGAGTAAACCCTCACTTAAGTTAGTGGTTGCATTGGTGTTGGAATAAAAACCTTTCTCTCATCTCTATAATCACACACACACATATCCCTCCTTCACACTGAGATCCAGGGTGTCACCTTTCAAGTTACCACTGAATGTCAATCATAGCAGACAAAAGAGGCCATTTAGATGGACATCATTCACTGTGGAGTTGGGTAGAAGAAGCCCCTGTGTGAAGTTTTGCCTGGGGGCCCAGGATTATAGCTGAAGCACCTTAGCTTCAGAGGGTTGAGGTTTTGGCCATGATTGTCAGCCTGCCTGTGGCCAGTAGGCTTTGATGTTAGTCCTGGTTTTGAAGTTGAGCCCTGTACTTTCTGACCATAAAATCTCGGGCAGTTTACCTCCCCGAGCCTGTTTCTTCATCTGTAAAATCTATAAAATGGTAGGAACTAAGAGGTAGTAAGTATAAAGTAAGTATAAAGCACATCGCTCTTGACAGGCATTTAGTGCAGATTCTTTTCACTCCTGTTTACATGGGAATCTCCCTGCAAAGGAGGATTTTAAGATTTTTTTCTTTTCTTTTTATAGAAATAAAATAGGGACACCTGGGTGGCTCAGTCAGTGAAGCGTCTGCCTTTGGCTCAGGTCATGATCCCGGGGTCCTGGAATTGAGCCCCTCATTGGGCTCCCTGTTCAGCGGGGTGTCTGTTTCTCCCTCTGCTCCACCCCCCTGCTCCTGTGCGCTCCTTCACTCTCTTTCTTCTCTCTCTCTCCTCTCTTTCCTTCTCAAATAAAAGCGTAAAAAAAAAAAGAAAGAAATATGTTTATTGTTATACAAACAACAATGAACAGTTCTGTAAAAACACTAAAAAGTGAGGGTCTCCAGAAGTGCCTGTTGTCAGTGAGGCCCTTTCCAGGTTTGCGTTCATGCATTTGCAGGCATACATTTTCACCAAAACAGTATCACACCTTACATGTGGTTTTACAGTCTGTTTTTCTCACAATGTTTTTTTCACCCCCCAACAGCTGCAGTTTTTCCTTGTGTGGATGAATTATAATTTATTGGTCAGCCCAAAGGGCACAGTATTAACTGATCTCCCTTCTCCTGTTTCTTTAGGGGTCCCAGCAGGATGAAGCCATTTAAATATAACCATCCTCAAGGATTCTTCAGCCATCGCTGACCTTCCACTCAGCCTGTTGTTTCCCCCTATGCCCGAAGTGCTGTGCCTCTATTTTCTGCTTTGGCCCACATGTGGCTCTTGATATTCTCCAAAGACAGGTTTTTTTATTTTTATTTCTAGCCTATTAAAGTGTCACTTGACCAGGTGGCCTTTGTCTTGTGGCTCCCTGAGGATGAGGAGGGGTGGGTTTGCAGTCTGGAAGGGCAGTTGGGGGCCATGGCACAGTGTGAAAGAGTTTTTGTGGATAGGCTTTCTTTAGGTGGCCAAGAAAAGCAGAATGCAGAAGATTCTGAGTCTGTAGAAAGATGCTGCCCTCTTATCCCCACTCATCTTTCTTGTTCCTACTTTGGGAGAGCCTCATTATTTTGGTGTTTATTACCCTAAGTCCCTGCTGTTAGGAGGTGGCAGGAAAACCCAAATGAGTGTAGCCCAAAAAACAAAAGTTCTATCCCCTCCCCTCATTCCCTCCACTAACTTTGTCAGTGCCTTCATTGGCCAGATTCTCTCTGATTGTTGGATTTTATAAACATCTGACAGTGCAGCACAAAGAGAAGACAGATATAAGGAATAACTGTAAATATTGCAACATTTTGTGAAGTCAGAATGGTGTTGGAGAATCACATGTAGAGCTACCCATCTCGTGAGGCTCTGGCAGAGTGAGACCAGGTGCCATTGAGGAGAATCTTCATGGTGAGGACATGATAATTGCCTCAAAAAATAGTGGTTTGACTCTCAAAGAATTAAGAGAAGTCCTAGGGAAATCGATAAAACCCTCTAAAATATTTTCAAATGACCTTTATAATTCTGCAAAAGTCAAAGTGAAGGAGTTCTTGGTCAAAGTAAAGTGTTTTTGGACAGTTGTCAGAAAAATTATTCCCCATCTCCAAAAAAAAATCCGTATTCATTATTTGTTTAAGAAATAAGATATAAAGCTGGAAAAATATTTAAGAATTATTACAGGGGCACCTGGGTGGCTCAGTCAGTTGGGTGTCTGCCTTCGGCTGGGGTCGTGATCCCAGGATCCTGGGGTCAAGCCCCACGTCAGACTCCCTGCTGAGCAGGGAGCCTGCTTCTCCCTCTCCTTCCTGCTTGCACTCTCTATCTCTTTCCCTCTCTCTCAAATAAATAAAATCTTTTAAAAAAAAAATTATTACATACTTGGGGCATCTGGCTGGCTCAATCAGAAGAGCATGTGGGGCGCCTGGGTGGCTCAGATGGTTAAGCGTCTGCCTTCGGCTCAGGTCATGGTCCCGGAGGCCTGGGATCGAGTCCCGCATCGGGCTCCCCGCTCTGCAGGAAGTCTGCTTCTCCCTCTGCCTCTCTCTCTCTCTCTCTCATGAATAAATAAATAAAATCTTTAAAAAAAAAAAGAAGAGCATGTGACTCTTGATCTCAGGGTCATGAATTCAAGCCCCACGTTGGGTGTAGAGAGTACTAAAAAAAATAATAATAAACTTAAAAAAAAAGAATTATTACATACTTGTAAGTATAATCTATAGTTTTTCAACTACAAGAAGAAAATCTACTCTTGTAGCCCATTTTTAATATATATAAAGTTTATTTTTGTGACAGTCCCAATCAATTGGCTTTTTTCTCCCACAATGTACTTTGAACTTTGCTCCCCGTTGTGCATATGTTCGTTCTCCATGGACTTTTATTGATGATCCTTGGATAATATGGGCCTCTGGTATAACAGCTGTTACCTCCTATTCTCTCGGCTGATCACTGAGCATCCCAGTGATAAGGATTTCCTGAGAAAGAACTAGGAGACCCCTGGGACTGCCAAGACCTTCATTTTACAGATGGAAGCCTGAGCCCTGGAAGAAAGGAAAATGTCACCTCTGATGGTTTTTGTTTTTTTTTTAAGATTTTATTTATTTGACAGGGAGAGAGCGAGAGAGGAACACAAGCAGGGGGAGCGGGAGAGGGAGAAGCAGGCTTCCCGCGGAGCAGGGAGCCCGATGCAAGGCTCCATGCCAGGACCCTGGGATCATGACCTGAGCCGAAGGCAGATGCTTAACGACTGAGCCACCCAGGCGGCCCTCTGGTGGCTGTTTTAATGACTGCCACCACCTCTGCCTCTCTTCCTCAGCCTACATCAGTCCTTTGAATACTCTTCTGCCCAGTGGGTCTCAAACTTCAATATGTGTGAATCCCCCATCCCAGGAGGGGATTAGAAACAGATTCCCATGCCTCACTCTAATATTCAGTCTCCGTTGACCTAAGATGGGCCCAGGAAGTATATTTTTAACGAGTTCCCCAGGTGCACGTTGCCCTAGTCTCTTTTTGGAAGTGGCTGTACTTTCTTCCCTTCCCTCATTTTTCTTGGTGACTCCTCATATAAAGCAGGAGGGCCCGATTCTCCGCAAGCAGCTCCCCATCTTCTGTCTTCCCGTACCTTGGGCAGCATCGTGAACCTCCCTCTGTGTGCTTCTCTCTTTCCACATAGTGTGATCTCCTTGTCTTTTCCCTGACCTACTTGCCTGGACTCTGTCCCTGCCAGCATCCCCTTGGTCTGGCCACCTTCAGGCCCTGTGTCTCACTGCCTGTGCTGAATAAGATTGAAATAGGGCCTAAAAATAGTTCCTTTAATGGCCCCTGCATTGCAGCCTCCACTGTTCGTGGCTGGAAGGCAGCCAGACTGACTCAGCACAAAAGCTTGTCTCTGATAGCTGGGACAAGGTTGCAAAGATGGCTTGTGAGTGCTGGGGAAAGGCTCTGCTTTCTGGGTAGGGGATGTCAGAGTCTGTCACCCTCCAGAAGAGATTTTCCCTCTTCAAAGGAGATGGCTGAATAAAGGAATCTTTTGGCCATAAGGAGAAGGGCTTTCAAACTAGCCAGAAGCCCAGGACAGTCCAGCCCCTTTGAGCTACTTCAAAGGCATTTGTGCTTCCAGTTGGCAGATTAGGAGAAGGGCTGGTTTGGGAGGACCTTGAAGCTTCCTCAACCAGAATTGGCCTTGGCCTTCCCTGGGGCACATCCCAGAGAGCAGTCCCTTTCTGTCATCTTCCCACACCTGGGACCCAGCCTAGGTTTCTTATCTTTCTTATCTTTTTATTTATTATTTTTTAAATTGAATTGAATTGAAATTTTTTAAAGTAATCTCTATGCCCAACATGGGCCTTGAACTCACCACCCTAAGCTCAAGTCGCATGCTCTACCGACTGAACAGCCAGGTGTCCCTCCTTGCCTTTGTAAAGCTACCATCTGTGTTCTTGATTTCTTTGTATATTCTAGTTTCTCCTTTATTTTCTTCCCAGCTTGCTCTCTCCTGTTTTCTCTACAAATAAATCCAAAAGACCTCTCTTTATTTTAAGGGTGTTCCCGCTGATCACTGTGGGAAAATGGCTAAAAGTCCTATCCATGGGAAAGCAGAGCTGCCAGACTGCCAAAGGAACTTTCTCCCGGTCTGTAGCCCCAACTCTGTCCTTTCCATGGTATTCAGCAGTCTCTCCATTGAGAACAGTTGTGTTAAGCATCTATTTTGGGTCAGGCCCTGCTAGTCACAATTTTCCATTCACTGTCCTATTTAATTACAACAGGCCACCAAGAATACACGTTCCCTTCATTTTTACAGACGAGGAAACTGAAGCTCATGGTTAAATGACGTGTCTGTGCCCACAGGCTTTCTTGAGCTGCACACCCAGGGTGAGCTCTCAGCAGGTCTATCTGCCTCTAAGACTTTACTTTTTATAAGAGTAGCTCTGGACCCAGCATAGTTTCAGGCTGGCACTCTCTCTGGGCCATTTGTTCATTTTAGCAACACAAGTACACCAAGAGCACTGTGGTGGTCAAGAGTTACAGCTTAGGGGCGCTTGGGTGGCTTAGTCGGTTGAGTGTCTGCCTTCGGCTTAGGTCATGATCTCAGGGTCCTGGGATCAAATCTGCTTCTCCCTCTCCCTCTGCTGCTCACCCTGCTCGTGCTCTCTCTCAAATAAATAAAATCTTTGAAAAAAAAAAAAAGTTACGGTTTAGTGTCAGGCTAACCTATCAGGTCCTTGTTCCACACTTGAGCAACTGTATATCCTTGAGCAGGTTTCTTGACTCACTCTAAGCTTTGGGAGTCCCCATCTGCAACTGGGAGTGGTTGTAGAGATTAAGCATCAACTCTCAGCACCATGCCCAACACCTAGCATTGCTCAGCAAAGGGGAAAGTTCTTATCCTTGCCCTCCAGGTTTCAGCCTGGAGAACGGGCCTCTTAAATGAGGAAGGCCTTTGCTACCTGATGGGCCATTCCCTGGCCAGAGGGTTCCCAGGCTGTGGAAGCCCAGCTCTCTCTGGTCCACTCCCTCCTTGCCTGCAGCACTTCCATCAGTCATGGCTAAACTGGCTCTGTCCGAAGATGGAGCCAAGCTCTCATTACCTGTCACTAGGCCAACCACAGCCCATTAGCCACACATCTGTTCCCTGCTGTCTGTGGGCCTGTGTCCTGGTTCCCACCAGAGGGTCACCTCAACTTCCTGGGCTCTTGCCACACCCTCTTCTAACTTGGCTTTCTCACTACCACTACCACTTCCACAGATGACCTAAACAGAGAAAGGAAACAACACTACCCACTGGGGCTGGTGGAAGACCCTCAGAGTACATTTGTGCAGTGAGTGAATGGATGGGGGTATCCCAAAATATTTTAAAGATGGACCCAGTCTAACAAGTTGAGATATAAAGTCCTACATGAAGGTCATAAAACCAATCACAGGACCACTACAATATTGATCTCCCAGTGTATACAGAATAGCCACTCACGGGCTGGGTGTTTTGTGTTTTCTAATTTCATATCTATTTTTGTTTTCTTACTTTGTTTTGTACACTATAGTGTACAAAATTCTTAATTTGATTTCGAGAATAAGTAATTTTTTTTTTTAAAGATTTTATTTATTTGAGACAGAGAGAATGAGAGAGAGAGAGCACATGAGAGGGGGGAGGGTCAGAGGCAGAAGCAGGCTCCCCGCCGAGCAGGGAGCCTGATGCGGGACTCGATCCAGGGACTCCAGGATCATAACCTGAGCCGAAGGCAGTCGCTTAACCAACTGAGCCACCCAGGCGCCCTCGAGAATAAGTAATTCATTCACAAGATTAAGAAACCAGAAAGCATAAGGAGTGAAAGTACAATGAAAGGTTTTACCGTCAGTCTTACCCCACCTGCCCAG